GTTCGTTTCCATTTTAAATGGGACAAACTATAACAAACAGTTCAGCAACATGTTATTTAAGATAATAGTGGTCTACAGTTCAAATCATAAAGTAAGCCAATAAAATAAAAATACAAACACAACACTAGTTTCATTAAAAGGGGTGATTAAATAATGATTTAATACAAAGATTTTACTTCCTTATTTTCATTCCATTACATGAATTTTAGCAACCTTACCCTTTATTTAAGACGATATAATGACAAAAATGAATGATGATAATAATTTATGAAAAACATGTATTTAAAGATTGTTGTACAGTGGACAATCGAAGAAAATTATTATATTGTATTTAAGTATTTGTCTGTGAGCAATTAATCATTAAACAATATCTTCAATCTATTTCTATTTTTCTATATCTAAATTATTTTGTGTATCATTTTCTATGCTAAGCTTATGAGAGAGAAAATGAGAAAACACAAATTGTATATATATCTATATACTAAATTTAAACTAAATCTGAACAATAATCTTATGTGTGTCATTTTCCATGATTAGATTATGACACGATTAGCGGAAATAAGAACACGCTGATCTTCATTCATATGCTCCTACCTTAACGTAGATAGTCTTCAAAAGAATGTAACCTCTACAAGTATGTACAGTAATGCTTTACTGAAGTTTTAGTATTCGAGTATGTTGATATCAATTAAATGTTGCTGTAACCAAAATGCAATACAAAAAGAATAATCTCTAACGTCACACGGGATCCATACATAAAAGAAACAAATGGAATGGGCATACATATATTTAATGTTTCCTGATAAGTTTTTTGTAGATTAGTTAATGTATAATTATAATATATTGGAAACCGGTGATTAAGCATACGTGTGAACTTAAATATTTTGTCATCAAAATGTTTCAGTGTAATAAATCCCAAAATTCACGTTTCGACCATATTAACTTTGGTATGAGAAATACGTGTAAATATTTTGACAAGAAAGAACAATGTTCATAGTGGTTTGTAAATAACCAGAAAATAGTTCGTAATAGTTCGTATCTGTCAAAGCGTTGGCAAAGTCCAAACAGATACACTAATTCCTATAAAATAAACTTAGATTGTAAGACACTTAAAGAATCATCAGAAAATTACGCCAGTATATATTAACTACAATAGTTTAAATATAGTTAAATGTCAAATTGAAAATCGTTTCTTATTGAGCATCAGAAGATAAAATTGCTTATTAATTTACTGCCTATACCAGAAAAATTTACAATAATCTTATGTTATTATGACACCTTATCGAAGTTTATATCACAGAATGTTGTTTGGCTGCAATTAAGAATATTCCGCCAGAAAATAGTTTTCCATTTTTTCTAATAGCCAAAAAATTATGAGGATCAAGAGATTGTTAAGCTATTGAGATAAAATGCCAATAAAAACCATTTCTGAAACTGTAACATTAAAAAAAGAACAAAAAAAAAACAAAACAAACAAATCCTTTGAAGGAAATGATGTGTCTTTAAAGCCATTGCAATCCACGTGCGTGAAGTTCAGATATTGTGTATCACTTAATAATTTTAGTTTTAGACTATTACTTCTGTTCACTGTCATTTTTCATTATAAGAAAATAATAAAACCATGCAATTTATCTTTTATACATACTACATTTATTTATCACAATAAGCACGGTAAAATTTCAAAGTTAATAATAGAATAGTTTGAGCATAGTTATTCATATTTTCACTTGAATTTTAGACTTGTAACTCTTCTCATGCTAACATGTGTAACATGTAACATGCTAAACAAACAAATGTCCCCTTTGTTAAACTTTTGTAAGAAGTTTGTCTTAAGGTGTGAAACTATTTTTTTTTCTATACCTAATATTGCAACAGACGAGCCTAAACTCGTTTCAGATGATATCTGCAGGGGTAAACGTAGATGCTGACTGCTTAGTTATACACTTGTAACATTAACAATGCATTACAACAGTATTTTATTTATAGAAATATAGGCCTCCGGACCGAAATACAAAGTTAAACTGGAAACTTGTCACGAATTGCAAGCTCAAAAATAAAACAGTGCAGAATTTCCGTAATTATGAAATATGCAGCGCTTCCTTACTGATATTCACTGTATACCATAAATTATCAATTACTTGTAAATTGACTCTTTCTGTTATTGTAGACGGCATATGTAAATAAATATGTTATAAGATCATCAATAAAATAAAAAATAAGAATAATTATGTAAATATATATAACTACGTATCACTCTAAGGGCTTGCTTATGAAAAAAATATAAAAAAATGTGTTATTAATTTATAACAATTCATATCGTTAAAAGTTATATCCACCCACCTAGCTAAAAAAAAACAGAGCATCGATAAGTAATTCAGAGTCGTTGGTCAATCCTCAAGTAAGGCGTAATTTTATATTGATCTGATCAACCGTTTTTATCATTACTCTTTAAGACAAAAATCGGTAAGTCACACTATTTGCTTGAAATTATGTCTAAAATCAGTAATTACTTTGATAAGTCTTTATTCGGCTAGATTTTTTTATGATGAAAGGATTAAAAAAACATGCAAGAATACTTCATTGAATTAAACAAATGTATGAATGCTGCAAAATAATAGTTAAAAAACAATATGTCGTGCATACTACTGGTTGGGAAGCACCAAAACCGGACAACCACCAAACCCGGACGGCCCCGAAAATGCTTAATTTAGTATTTTGTTTGTTCAGTGGTTGTCAGTCACTTTTTTATCAACAATAAATGCATGTTTCTTCCAAAATAAGGTATATATATTTATTTCAACCTACGTTAATGGTAATATTTTAATGTCTTGTATGTTGACGTTGAAATTTTGGGGTCAAGAAAACAATGCCTGACCTCATATAATCATTGAATAGTAAATAATAGAATATCCAAAACTTCAGCATTTGTTGCTGAAATATTGTATATTATGTTAAAAATCAAAAATGGAAACACCTAAGCTTTTATCTGAATTAAATCATGACCGGACACATGGTACTGTAGTGTAGACAATTTAGGTAATTTTGATACCCTCCTTGTCAAGCCTCAGATATAAGTGTCAATTCAATCAGAAATAAACAAACTAGTTTGTTAGTACGGAAAATTGTACCAAAAGTGTCCGGTTGATGGTCTCCGACCAGTACATTCTAAATGACTTTGAATTTATTGTATGAAAGGTTCATCTTAATGGAGTTTTTAAAGCATGTTTATGCTAAGTCATGAATTATGTATCCTATGAATTAAATCGGAAACTTAACTAATAAATCACCCTTAGGATATGTTGCCTGCTTTTTTGCCTGAATTTATTGTATGAAAGGTTCATCTTAATGGAGTTTTTAAAGCATGTTTATGCTAAGTCATGAATTATGTATCCTATGAATTAAATCGGAAACTTAACTAATAAATCACCCTTAGGATATGTTGCCTGCTTTTTAAATTGTCTTTTGACGTCTTGTCTATGATATGCAGGCTTTATAACTTCAGATCCCCTTTCAAAATTCCATTTTATCTAATACTGTCCATTGTTTTCTCGTTTAAGACACACACCTTCTGTTATTTGGGAACCAAATACTGCTTTTCATGGAAATGACACTTCTGTGTCACATTGAACGTCGCATGATAACCGCCGTATGAACACATCTGCGGATGTTTTTAAATTCAATATTTCCCCATGTTCGTGTTTAAATGTTGAATTCTGCTTGAGTCGGTGCTATGGATCGTGGACGGTGACTAACGCTTTCCGGTGCTGTACAGGAACAGGCCCAATCAAACCGCGCTTGCAACATTTTACAATTTTGCGCGTTGGGTCTTCTTTAGGGGTTCTGTTTTTCTCTATTTCATTTTCACATCTGTGTTATTTTTGCCGTGTAGCGGCGTTAAAAAGACAGTCACCCGTACATTTAATCAATGATGTTATATTGTCTATCAATGAAAATAGTTGATGTTGTGTATACATTGTAGATGCTATTTTTGGTTTCTTTTATTTGGCCTTTTTCAACTTGGCTGTTTCAAGTATTTGTACTGGAATACTGTATACCCTTAGGATATGTTGCCTGCTTTTAAAATTGTCTTTTGACGTATTATCTGTAATATTCAGGCTTCATAACCTCAGATCCCATTTCAAAATATCATATTTTTAGTTCCGCCTATGGTTTTCTCGTTTAAGGCACACGCATTCTGTTATTTTGGACCATATACAGTAAAAACTCTGAAAACCGGATCCTCTGAAAACCGGAATCCTCCGAAAACCGGACGATTTGAAAAGTCCCGTTTTTTTCCCTTCTTATTTCATTGAAAAAAAATCCTCTAAATACCGGAAACTCTGAATTCCGAATACCGGACGATTTGCCATCGTTTCTATTGCTTAATGTACATAAAATATCCTCTGAAAACCGGACGCTAAGTGTCAACTTTTTGTGTATTCTAACTGGATCCCAACCAGGTGACAATTTTTAGCGTTGGCCAATTAACGGTCATACGATATATCTATGCAGGCGTGAAAAACACTTGTCGGTGCGTGTGTCAATAACGTATCGGCAATTTAATGACGATCTTTCATCATGTTGTGTTAATTTCGTTTATTGTTGTACAGGTATGATCGTGAAAACATTTTAATTTGTTGCGTTCTTTAAAGTTACATAAATTCTTTGTTGTATTGATAACGAGGGCAATAATAATTTGTGCTAAATCGATCAGGTAATTTCGAATTGTTTTTCGCAAAACATATCAATTAACATGATGAAATGAAATGAGATAATTATTCATATTTTTACTTTATTAAAAGATGAATATTCGAGTAAATATTTGCTACAAACATGGTTTATTTAAATAACAGTAAATTCTATTGGATGTGTTTTAAAAGCCAATGAAAAACGTTTAAAGTTTAGATAAGTATTTTTGAGATATCTACGTTTATGCACTTTATTTTTGACTTAGAAAAGCAAAGTTTTCCTACATTGCAAAGTTTAAAATTAAATAAGAAATGACTGAGCCACCCTCAAAACGTAGAAGGGTTGAACTGTCTCTACAAGACAAAATAAAGATTGTAAAGGAATATGAGTCTGTTCCTAAACCATCTTTGAAGGTAAGCCGATATAACTCTTATTGAGTTATAAATAGTCAATGGTTATTTTGACCATTTTTGCAATTTGAATCATTTCAATTTTAATAACTTTAGCTTAGTTTGAAATTAAATTTATTTTTCTTCATTTTACAGTCATTGTCTGAGAAGTATGGGATAGGGAAGTCCACTGTCGGTGACATTATAAAGAAGAAAGATCTGTTGAAAAGTAACTGGGAATCAAACATGTCTTCAAACAAAAGTCGTTTCAACTATGATGCTAAATTTGATAAACTTAATGAACTTGTGTGGCAATGGTTTTGTGTAGTTCGAGCTAAGAATTTACCAGTGTCAGGGCCAATTATTCAAGAGAAAGCTAAGAGTTTCGCGACAGAGTTAGGTGTTAGTGATTTTAAGGCATCAAATGGCTGGTTAGGTAAATGGAAAGGACGCTATTCAATCAAGGAATTTAAAATTTCCGGTGAAAGTGCAGGTGTAAAGGTTGATGATGTTGATGGATTTAAAGCGCGTATTCCAGAGTTTATTGGGGATTACGATATGAAAGATGTGTTTAATTGTGATGAAACAGGCCTGTATTACAGAGCTCTTCCAGACAAAACGTTATCAGCTAAGGGATCACTGACAAAAGGGTCTAAAGTGTCTAAAGAAAGAATAACAGTGATGTTCACATGTAGTGCACTTGGGGAAAAATTGAAACCTCTAGTTATAGGAAAGTTTGAAAATCCTAGATGTTTTAAAAATGTCAATAAGAAAAATCTTGGTGTGAAATATGTTGCTAACAAAAAAGCATGGATGAATAGCCACGTTTTCAAAACTTGGATAAATGAACTGAATTCAGAAATGCGCCGCCAAGGAAGAAGAATTCTTCTCATGCTTGACAATGCTTCTTCACATGGTAAAGAGGATGATTACAAACTCTCTAATGTATGTGTAAAGTTCTTGCCCGCAAACACTACGTCACACCTTCAGCCATTAGATCAGGGCATTATAAGAACATTTAAAGCTCATTACCGGAGATACCTACTGAAATCATTGATCAGTTTAATGGACGACAGTGCAAATGTGACTGAACTGTGTAAAAATGTCAATCTAATGGATGCTATTTCGTGGACATTGAAAGCATGGAATGATATCAAAAAGGAAACAATTATGAAGTGCTTTAGATGTGTTGGATTTGGTAATGATGAATGTACAACTGGCCAGTCTATGGATGATGAAGATGAGTATGAGGATGACAATGTACCACTAGCATTGTTGGTGCGAGAACTGAGTTACAATATGCAGGACTTTGAGAACATTGATTTAAGTTTGCCAACCGAAGATGACAGTGACCAATGGGAAATGAACATTGTAGAATCATTCAGGACAGATGAGACTATTGAGGATGATAGTGAAAATATAGACTGTGAATTAAGTGAAACTCCCTTGCCCGGAAGTGAAATGAGTCAGAAGGAGGTGCTCCAAACTCTTATGAAGTTAAAAAACTTTGCTTTGGAAAAAGATAGTGATCTATTGGATGGTGTTCTCCAACTACAGACTATGATGGAAGACAAAATTGTTAAAGCCAGATGTTCACAAAGACAATTAACAATGCATGATTTCTTTGTCAAATGTTAAATGATGATATGTAAAATCTTCTATTGTTACATTCAGTGAGATGGCTGTGAATAAAATAGACTCAAAGAACACAGCATAAAATGTTCACAAATTAAATGAATGTTTGTTACATAAATGGTAAATAAATGTTTTAACATGATTTAATCATAATTATGTATGAACTTATACACATTCACATTATTCACGTATTCACATTACTCCAGATGAATATATGCATATTGTTCGTTCATTACTCAATGTACATGTATAAATGTTATGAATGCTCAATAAAACATTTAATTAGTGCAAAATGTTATTACATGTATTATGTGATTATTTATTAAATAAATAATGTTATATTAAATTAAATAATTATAGTTTGAAATGAAATTATTTTGTTGTCATTACTATTCTAGTACTTAAACTATCATAAACATAGATAAAAGAAAACGGAAGACCATTTAAAGGTACATTAACAAACATATTGTTATGATAAAAGATGACTCTATATAAAACCTCTGAAAACCGGAATCCTCTGAAAACCGGACTTTTGGCCTTGTCCGGACAGGGTCCGGTTTTCAGAGTTTTTACTGTACTACTTTTCATGGATCTGACACTACTGTGTCACATTGAAGGTTGCATGATAACCGCTGCATGAACACATCTGCGGATGTTTATTAAATTCAAAATTGTACCATTTTCGTGTTTAAATGTTGAATTCTGCTTCAGCCGGTGCTTGTAGGCGTGGATAGTAACTTGCACTTACCAGTTCCGTACATGAACAAACTCAATCAAACCGAGCCTGCAACATTTACAATGATGCATTCTGTTATTTTGGGACCTTTGAATTTTTCTTAAACCTGTGTTAAGGGCGTAGACGATAACTTACATTTTTTAGTACCGTCCATGAACAGTCTCAATCAGACATTATCAATTTTGCCGTGTTGGGCTTTCTTTGGGAATTCTGTTTCTCTTTTTAATATGTTTATAAATATTCTTTCTTTATATCAGTTAAGACAATATTAATGTTAACGTATGTTGAAAGTTTAAATGATATTTCAGGAAAGAACATTTAAGTTTTGTTATAATATAATTGTTATATATATGAACTGTCTAAGGTAATTAAAAAAAAATAACAAGGTACAATTACAAAATGTTTAATGTTTTTCCTGTTAAATATTTTGTAATGATGTATAATTTCAATTATTTTCATTTGCTTGAAATAATGGTATATGTTACAATGAGTATTGTTCACGTTAGAAAACATCTAGAAAATAGATAAATTGTAGGATAAGATTGATGACCATCATTGTTTCACCTTACATGTATTTACAAATAAATCTGAAAGTTTCACAAATTATTATACTATTCATAGTTAATTGCACGTACTGTGAATTCAATGTTTTATGTATTATGATTTTAGACCAAAAATAAATTAAATAAATCAAGTAAATGGTTATAACATTTTAAAATAAAATGCAACGTCGATTGACAATTGACAATCGTGACAAAGATAAAACTTTCATAACTTCTTACCATATCTGAAACCGACTTAGAATTTTGAAAAGTAATTTAGGTTTTTTCTTTTGTTGATAACATGTATTTTCTATCTAATGAAATATGCTTTTGTATAGCATTTTGTTCAATCCAAAGATAATACCTGAGTTTTTATCAGATTTTTTGTTCTTTCGACCAAACAAACGATCAATTTTATAGATTAATTGAGTTCAACAGGTTGTTCTATCTCATGAAATATGCTTTGGTATAATGAGCACTTTTGTTCCATGGACTGAACAAAATGCTTATACCGGATTTTCTATCAGATTTTTTTGTTCGGTCAACCAAACAAAATATCAACTTTATTTTTTTTCATTGGAAACAACATGTTTTTTTCTATCCATTGAAAATTAAATGTTATTTTGTATAGCATTTTTGTTCGATCAACTGAACAAAATGTCTTAAACAGGTATTTTCATTGGATTCAACATTTTTTTTTCTATCTAATGAAATGTGCTTTTTGTGTAGCATTTTTGTTTGATCTATAACTGTGTTTTGCTTTTCTTTTTCCTTTTTTTGATGTATCAAACAGAATGTTTATTTTGAATTTTTTTATTTGATTTAACAAGTTTTGGTAATGAAAACAATTTTGTTCGGTAATCGAATAAGATGTTTGCCTGTTTTGTTTGATCGAAAAAAATATACATTTGTGAAATCCAATGAAAACAAATATATTTTTTTTTCAATCGGTATTTTGATTGATTGGTCCTTTAATGTTTATCTTAAATTTTTTATTTGATATAACAAGTTTTGGAAATGAAAAGAAATTTTGTTTGGACAATCGAACAAACTAATAAGATGTACGTTTGCCCTTTTTGTTTGATCGATCGAACTAAATGTCTATTTTAAATTTTTCATTTAGTTTAACCAGTTATGGAAATATAAAGAAATTTTGTTTGATCAAGTTTTTGTAATGAAATTAAATTTTGTTTGGTCGACTGAATAAACAGGTATTAAGATGTTTTGTTTTCTGTTATTAGCTCACCTGTCACAAAATGACACGGTAAGCTTTTGTGATCGCTTTTTGTCCGGCGACCGTCTGTCCGTAAACTTTTACTTTAAACGACATCTCCTCATAACCCACCAAGCCAATTTCATCCAAACTTTACAGGAATGTTCCTTTAGTAGTCTACTAAATTTGTTGAAAGCATTGAATTCCAAGCAACATTCTGCTTGCCATGGCAACCAAAAGAAAAAAAAATTAAGATATCTTCTTTTAGAAAACCGTAAAAGCTAGAACTTAAATATTAGACATGAAACATCAACTAGTCAGTGTCTACCAAGTTTGTTCAAATAAATGCCCTGGGGTCAAAACTGCCCCTGCCCCAGGGGTCATTGATTTTCCTAATTTGTATATAGTAAACACTAGTGAAAAAATATTTTTTAAAAAACCCTAGATATTAAACATGAAAAATCTTCTTGTGGGTGTCTACCAACGTTGTTCAAATCAAAGCCCTGAGGTAAAAATTGGCCCCGCACCAGGGGTATTGATTTTCCTTATTTGTATATAGCAAAAACTTTAAAAAATCTTCTTTTAAAAAACCAAAATGGCTAGAGTTTAGATATAAAGCATGAAACATCTTCTGGTGGGTGTCTACGAAGTTTGTTCAAATAAAACCCCTTGGGTCAAAATTGGCCCATCCCTAGGGGGTCATTGTTTTTGCCAATATGTATATAGTAAAAACTTTAATTTTTTAAAAAAAAACCCAAAGAGCTAGAACTAGGATATTAAGCATGAAACATCTTCTAATGGGTGTCTACCAAGTTTGTTCAAATAAGGGCCCTTGGGTTAAAATTGGCCCCGCCCCAGGGGTCATTGATTTTCCTTATTTGTGTATAGTAAAAACTTTAAAAAATCTTCTTATAACAAACCCAAAGAGCTAGAGTTTAGATACGAGGGCTGTCCGGAAAGTTCGTAGACAAGGCTATAAAATTATTATAAGCAGTCATATTAATATGATGATTAAATATTTTGCTTAAGTATTTATTCTTATACAAATTTCTAAATTAAAAAACATAATAAAAGTTGTATTCGCAAATCGCCAATCACCATGGCAACATGATCAACGAATCACGGAGCACTTTGATTTCATGACAATATCTACTCGAATAAAAGGTTGCTAAAAGTTTTAATTTTAACGCAAACTCTTGTTTTAATGTTGTGAGATCAAAGGGTACTACTTAGTGAAAATTACGACGTCATACGCAAAGAAACAACTTGTTAACGACGATTATGGGCAATGAAGTTGCGTTAGTTTTGTGTCGCAAAAAATGACGTCAAATTAATGGACGGAGCAACGTAATGTTATTTTACTTCAAAGCAACGCTTATAATGATTATAATCTTTACTTGAAAAACAAAATCAACCATAAATTGTTAAGGACAACTTGTGTTTAATTGTCAAACACGATTAAGAAGCGGTGATGACAGTATTTTGTATAAGAAACGTATCAGATTACCAAAATGCGTAGATAAGTCAAATGTCGTAGATAATGATTGCGTTACAACAATCCTTGAAAAAGACAGACATATCACACACTGTATGGGAACCAGTGACACCTTTGATGTTGTTGTTTTTTTTAATGTAGTATATGAAATTAATAAAGTAATAGCAAGGGAACATTACATGTATAAAGTATACGCCAGACAGGTTCCATGGCTGTTTAAATCGGAAGAAATTGAATATTGGATAAACATGACATTAAATTGACGCCGTTGACGTTGTCAAAGTGCTCCATGACGATATATATATGTTGTATGTAAATGCTGTAAAAATACAAACGTAAGTCACAAATCAGTAATTTTTGATAAATGTGTTCGCTAGATATGTATATTTTTGCTGACAAAATTTGTACAACGTATGTATTGTTATACAATAAAAAATGAAGAAGTATTTGAACTTTCCGGACATCCCTCGTACTTATAAGCATGACATATCTTCTAGTGGGTGTCTACCAAGTTTGTTCAAATAAAAGCCCTGGGGTCAAAATTTGCCCGTCCCAAGGGGGGAGGATCATTGTTTTTCCCTATATGTATATAGTGAAAATTTAAAAAATCTTCTTATAAAAACCCCAAAAGAGCTAGAGCTTACATATTTATCATGAAACATCTTCTAATAGGTGTCCACCAAGTTTGTTTAAATAAAAGCCCCAGGTTTTAAATTGACCTTGGCCGTGGGGCCTATATACAGATGAGCAATTTCAGGGCCATTATGTTAATACTTGCTCCAACGTTCGAAAAAAATGGGTTTTTTTAGTACAGATTGAGAGAGAAATTTTGCAATGCAGTGTTTGAACATTTTTGTTTTATAGATCGAACACAATGTTTACTTTAAATTTCTTATTTGATTTAACAAGTTTTGGAAACGAAAATAAATTTTGTTTGGTCGATAGAATAAAAAGCCCTTTCTGTTTGAACAGTCGAAAAAAAAAATAATTATATTTGTTTGATCGATCAAACAAAAT